GCAAGTACATGATCGACTCGCCTGAAGTCGCCGGAGACTACTACCAGAAGATCGCCGAGCGCATAGCGGATACTGGTCTCGGTGTGCGCAAACGCGTCATCAAGCTCTTGAAGTCCTTCTACAGCGTCATTGATGACGACCGCCGTCGCATCGATATCTGCACGAAGCTCGTCCTGCGGATGTTCGATGAAGATGATACTGTGAAGGATCTGGCCGTGAAGACCATCGAGGAGCTGTGGTTCCAGAACTCGAACATGGCTTCGACTCATAAGCCTAGGAGTGGTGGTGCGTCTGCAGCTAACTCTGGCGACAAGACGCAATTATTGGCCAAGGTCTCCATTATCATGGCCGTGTCCGGTAACTTCAGAGATAGGCAATCACCACTCGAGGATATGTTGCACAAGATCATGGCAGACAAGGAGGGTCCTGAGGCGAGCAGTTTGCATGCTCGCTACAGCGAGATCTGTGAGGCTTTGATCGACGGACTTGTCGACGCCTCCGAATTGCCGGGCTTCGTGAGTGTCCATTGACTGACTCACAACACTGTCTGATCGTCATTTCGCAGACTGTGGTGAACTGCATCCGGACGATTTACCTGTTCACGTCTGCATATCCCGCAGTTCTCTCTGGATCCAACGCATCTACCTTGCTCCCGTACTTGAAGAATGCTACCACGGTACATACCTTTTATCTCGTGATACGATGATTGCCACTGATAAACTTTAAATCTTCTTATTAGACCGAAGAGCAGATCACATCGGACTACCTCCTCAAGATCTTCCGCGTGTCGATTCCCTTCATGCCCAAGACCGCTGCCAAATTCGGCACAGAACTGCAGCTCGCCCTTCAACCAATGATCATCAGGCCTACCGGATCTGGCGGCGTGTCGGTAAGCACTTACTGTACGATATCTTTATGAACCAATGTTGATTCTCCCGTAGGCTCTACAAGAAACGGTCGCATGCATGTGCGCAGTCGTACAGAATCTGACGCACGAATATCGACGCTTGACTGGATTGTTGAAGTCCTGCAACAGTGCGTATCGTTTTGGGTAACATGCATTTGGGTCCTCAGTGTATTGCTTCAGATCGTACGCAGGAGTTTCTTGAAAAGGATACCACGACAGCAATGAAACCCAATGATATGCGCGCCCTCTCGATCTTAATTTACATCGTCTCTCTTTTGGCGGAACACTGCGACTTTGACCAGTTGAGGAACGAAACTCCAGGTACGTGTTTCATTGCCGTGATCTAAGTATCAGTAGTTTGATTATTTTATATAGAACTGGTCGAGGAGCTGGACAGCGTAACCAAGGTGGGTTTTCTTGGTTTGAAGCAAAAAATGAATTTCGAGTTAATGTGATTGCAGGGACCAATTCTGGAGCATGTCTACAACAGCCTACTGAAGCTCTATCGGAAGTACAAGGAAGGTGGGATCCGTGGCCGAGTTCTGCAATGCCTAGGTTGGTGCTTCTCGCTTTTTCTCTCGGCGTCTGCTGATTGCGTTGCCCGTAGGATTCTTGTTCCGAGCCCAGCCTACCCTTATGACCATGGAATCCTCAGCCATGATTATGGATGCTATCTTTGCGTCTCCCGAGGAAGAGAGCCGAGGCCGTTTGCTCAAGATCATGCAGGAATTCTTGCTATCGGAAGCAGCGAAGCACTCCGCTAAGGAGAAGCGTGAGTATCCCTCGTCAAAGTCATGTTTTGATTTCTCATTGTCTTTACAGAGAGCGGCAAAGCAGGCGCGACCACCGATGTCAATATGGAGGAGCTCGTCGGCAATACAGACGGTTTCGCCGATTCTGGGTAAGTTTGCCCAGGCTACTGAGATCCGGTCGTTACTCACCACCTGTAGTGTGAGTTCGGCAATTGTACAGCGGTACCTCGACCCGATCTTGCAAGCTGCGCTGTCTCAACATCTGCAGACGCAAGCAGCCGCCATCGATATCCTCAGCTTCACCATCAAGCAAGGTCTTGCGCATCCACTCCAGGTAAGTATTCCTATTTTCTACCTGGCCACGAGGGCTCAGCCTTGCGTAGTCCTTCCCTGTCATCGTGGCTTTGGAGACAAGTCCAAGTCCAGCCTTGAGCTCGCGAGCCAGTGCACTGCATGCCATCTTGCATAGCAAGCACGCGTCGATCCTCAATGCCCGATACACCGTCAGCGCACGAGCCTCGTTCGACTACCAGAAGAAGCTCGCCAATGGCCCGATCCAAGGTGAGTCCTCGTCCACTAATTCCCCACAGTACGGAGCTGACCACGCCCATAGGCTACCGCATCCAGCAATCGACCCCGGTCGCACTCCTCCAGCGCTGGTACTCGCTCGTGCGCGAGAAGCGCGCGTCGAAGCTCGACTTCCTCAAGGCGCTCGTGCGCGTCTTCGACGTGCACAACCCGGGCGCGTGCACGCAAGACGACGTCGACTTCGCGCGCTACATGGCGGAGAACTTTGCCGCGTTCGACTACAAGACGCAGGAGGAGGTACTCATGGTCGCGAAGAGCGCCACGGGCGTGCTCTCGACCGTCGGCATGCAGCTCGTCGAGACGCTCTCGCCCGCGCATCTGCTTGCGCAGCTGCATGCGCCGATTCGCGTCGAGGGCGTTGGTGCCGGTGCGGATGTGGAGATGGGGGATGCGCAGGTGAACGTGGCAGTGCCGGAGCATGCGCCGGCGCCGGGGGGAGGTATGTTATTTGAGATGCTCTTCGTGGAGATTGGTGCTTATGTTGTGGTCGATGCAGCTGCTGAGCCTCTGGTGTGGAAATTGCTAGACAAGCTGCCACTCATGCGTGCGTCGGTCATCATTGGCATCATCATGCTGTTGAAGGCCTACCTGAAGAACACATACGGTCTGTCTGAAGAGTGAGTCTTCCTCTTCCTAAGATGTACTTCGCGACTGACCTTCTATGAAGTAAATGTGTGAAGTGGGTCATTGGGAAGAAGAACGCGCTGGGGGATAGGCCTGCAACGAGGCGCAATGCTCAGCCGCTCGCGTGGGAGCGTCTGCCGTTTGCGATTACCCCGATGTTGACGACGGAAGACATGGCTGCCCAACGGGATACTGTAAGTGATCAACCCAATCCTGCGTTGATGATGGCTGAATAACAGAGTAGTTTTTGCACGTGTGGACGGAGGATGGAGTCGCGCCTGAGCCCGAAGATGATTTCGAATAAGTTCAACCCTTTCTGTTGTTTGTTGTCTGTTGTCTCTTTACTCTTTCTCTCTGCTCCTCACCGCACTTAGGTTATTATTATGCTAACACTTACCCATATGGACTGCTCGCTTTGCTTCTTGGTCGCTGTCGTTGTTGCGCACAAGCCTCCCGGACTGGCCACTGTATACCTCCACCACCAGATGAAAGATGTAGAGTGTAGAGCAACTAGTACATAGCTAAGCTAACGCCACCCACCCACCTCGCACTGTGGTGCGATACTGTATGCCCGCACGCACAGTGTGTATGTGTATGTATGTAATCGAATACCGTACCCCCCGCTACACTAGATCCCAGACTGCGTCTCACTTCTTATCACCCTGGCTCCGGTTCGTATCCTTGCTCGTCCGTTTCTCCTGCGAAGGCTTGGGCTCTTCCTCGGGCACAGCCGGGCGCACGGCCTTACCATCGACAAAGACAATGGGGCCCTTGGGCATCTCGCCCCCGAGCGCCTCCCGCGCGGGCTCGTCGAGCACCGGCTCGTCCTCAAACGCAAACTCGAGCTCGCCGCCGTACGCCTTGGGCAGATTGTGGGGCTCGATGAACGTGCGGAGCTGCTCGCCGGGGTTGCGGCCGAGGACCATGACCTTGGTGCGCGTGCCCTCGTCGAACCAGGCCTTAATCCAGCCCCAGACGGTGGGGAAGAACGCGGGCGCGTTGACGACGGCGATGCGGTGCAGCGTCTCGGGGTAGTGCGCGGTCGCGAGCTCGGACGCCTGCTGCAGGTGGTGCCGCAGCGACCACATCGTGCCGAGCGAGACGCTCTCGAGGTCGATGATCGACGTCACGGTCGAGATGGGCGTCTTGTCGTCGTGCGGGTGCGGGAGCGCGGTGCAGAGCGGGAGCGTGAAGCGCGACATGAATTCCCAGAGTGCGACGCTGCGTGCGTTTGGGTAGATCAGTTGATGATTGCTATGGGAGGAGGATAGTAGGAAGACGCACATGCGCTGGTACCGCCGCTCAACGGGCACCGCGTTCAGCTCCTTCTGCATCGGGCCCGTGAGCGACGCGAGGCGGAAGACATACACCGGCACGCCGTGCTGGACTTGGTCCGCATGAGCACACTCGTCGACTCTGCGCGCGCGGGCGAGCGGGGCGCACCTTGTCGCGGCGGCCCGTCCAGCGCGGGTAGAAGCGCTTCGCGCGCTCGAACTCGTCCGCGGGGAACGTCGCGTACAGGCGCCCGATGTCCTGCTGCCGCCGCCAGTCCTCCGTCGTCGTGAACTGCCTCTGCGCCTTGTCGGGCTCGAAGCGGCGCGCGCGCAGGAAGCGGCTGCGGGTCGCGCGGTCGTCAGCGGGCGCAGTGCGCGGTAGGCGGAGCGGGGGCGTACAGCAGCGTTGCGTCGTCGTGCGAGGGCTGCACGGATGGTGGCGATGGCGGCTGGTAGAGCCGCGCGCTGGCGAGGTTGTCTTTGAATGCGGCGAAGCGCTCCTGCTGCTCCTCGGTGAGGAAGCCGAGGTGGCCGGCGAGGACGCGGTCGTACGTTGTTGATGTCTCGCTCATCCCGCAGCTTCAATTAGTTGTGCTTTGAGACCAGTGTGTTCGGTGAGGGGGGCGAGGGGAGGATGGAAGGAGGTGGTAAGATGGCAAGATTGAAGACGAACTTTGGAGACGTAGACACCCCGGCCCGAGTCAGCATCATTACATACTCCGCGCGACGTCACGCGTGCAAGTCGCGTGCCCCCACACTCTTCTTCGTCGCATCGCGTCCTCGAACGTCCCAGAAGTTTGCTCCTCGTGTCCCTCATTGAGGAGCCAGCAAAAAAAATTCATCAACCATTTGGACGGGCCTGGCCGGGAATTGAACCCGGGACCTCCTCCAAAGACCTGCAAGCGAATTGAAGAGCCCTAAGAAGGAATCATACTACTAGACCACCAGGCCATGATATGTGGGTCCCGTGTGTCCTATACTATCAGAAGGGAAAGCGTGCTGGCCTTTGATGCCGCTTCCGAGTCATCCCGCAGACCCGTCAAAGCGACCTTGCAAATGATCAAAATACAAGACAGAAGATACAAACCACCAACTAGAGGTATAGTAGGACAGAAACAGCCCAGCCTCAAAAGACAGAATTTTGTATATAAAGATAAGTCGAACACACAAACGCTCACCTCAGAAACAGCGCCGCACTCAGCATGACTCGCTCATCTCCACGGTGCGCAGGTGCGTGCGGTAGTCCAACATCAGGGAGCCAGCCCTTCGGCCACCCTTGCCGCTCGTCGCGCAGCCGAAAATGCGAGTTTCCGGGCCAAGTCTTACGTCCAAGTGACGATGCAGTACGAACTTCAGCGTATACGAGAAAAGGACTGGAAATCGTGGCGAGAAGGTGAGTCAACGCTCGAGTTCTTGTGAGCGGAACAGATTACTGACCAGCTCTAGCACGCCCTGATGTCGAAATTCCCGACGGCAGCGCCTGCTGCTCGCAGCGGGAAAGATCTCCGTCAAATTCGGGTGCGGTTTTTGCAAGAAAAGGAGAGGAAGGCGTTATCCTCAAAATGCATCAGGAGCAGCTAGATGCGTGTCGGCAACGGGTGAATGGAAATGGGTGGTAAAAGCCTACTTTTGCGCGAGCATGGCAAACTACTCAGCTGTGATTGCACCCCTCGCACTCTGTCGGCGCCGCGGCGCACGTCGAGTTCCCGAGCGCGAACGCTGGTTCGTCCCCGACGATACACGCTGTTCGGAAGACCTGAGGGCAATGGCGATGGCGATGCCAAGGTGCCCCATGGCAGCGATCGCCGCGGGGCAAATTCCGGTGGATTCTGACGGAAGCCTAGGCGAGTACATTGCCCGTGTCTTACGGGCCATAACAGCCTGTCGATAATGCGCGAACCGTGAGTGTGCGTTCGTCCGCGTTAAATGGCGATTTCGACTCACTGCTGTCACTCTAGCCCAGCACCGCGAGCCAACATAAGAGCCGGCCGCCACAATGCGCAGGTCTTCACGGTCAAACTCCGCCGCCGCTCAATGCCAGTGCAAGCATATCGACAGACGACAGTATTCGTAGATGGTGGCGACGGAATCTGGACTATTTGTCAAACTTTCAATTTACGATGATCAGAGTCTGACGATGAACCCACCCGCCTTCCTCGAGCCTACCCTTGTGCCTCAATGGGCATGGCACTTGCAGAGGCAGTTAAAGTTATGCATGGTCTTGACCGGTTCCAGGGGGAGAAATGGGTAGGGTCTCGGGGCACGTATTTGAAGGGGCTGGAAAAACAAGTCCAAATCATTCCCGCGAGCGCTGATGACGGCTGAAGCAAGCCATGGGGCCCACGTACATCCGTACTTAGAGTAGAGGAGGAGAAACATTGCCATGCCTGCGGCATGAGTCAATTTCTAAGATGGCCCAAAACATTGAGATAGGACTCGGATCTGTCGCGCACATCGGTGAGAACTTGCAGTCACTTACCGGGGACTATGCTTGCAACCGGTTATTTGGGTTAGGACCTCAATTTGATCGCGAAGGTGCTGCGTCTCACTTCCCTCGACATCAGAAATTTCTGTATCAGAGAGGAAGAGAGGGGGGCGTGCGAGAGGGGGGCAGCGGCGGGGATTAGGAAAGGAAGCTATCCTTAGAACGCGCCGTCCCATTGCCGAACAGCTGGATTTGCCGCGGCAGGGCCTTGCACATTCCCGCCGATGGTCCTCGTCAGCAATCCCCGTTTTGGCGATCTTCTCTTGAGACTGTTGGAAGGCATTTGAGGGTAATTGTTAGTCTTGGTTCCAGACGTTCAGGGAGGCGTCTCGGTATCCCGTCCCGGTATTCAAGTGGAAATTAAAGGCGGAGTCAAAACAAGCGAGAACTGAGTGATTTGTTTTGACTCCGACTCTGATCGGTTACATCGGATTGCGCCACTCGATATCTCATCGGCGCGTACTTACCACTCCCCCCAGAACGGCCGGGAACGAGACTAGGTAGTCATAAAGACACGGCAGAAACATGTGTTCGGAAAGTTTAATGCACCGCGGCCGTTCATTGGTGCCCTTGGCTCCGTCACATCCCTGTCAACGGTGCATGTCGACGTTAACGCTGCTGATCATGACAATCTTCTTGAGTCTATTGGAAGGCATTGAAGACTCAGACACCAGCAGTAACACATGTTCAGAATGTTCAAATTTGGGGTTCCAGGGTTTGTCCTGATCAGGTAGCAAAGAGTAACATCGAGACATGCCCCGATAGCTTACCAATGTGTGCTGGAGGTGCCCCATACATTTTAATGAGTGTAAGTATATGATGCTCCTCATCTGATGGATCTAAGTTTCCGATAGTCGCTGTCGAGCAGCGACTCGTGGATCTGCATACGCTGGTCATGGACCTGGCCTCGTATGAAATGGACAAGGCATGAGAGGCCTCTGTTCACCCAATGTGACAATTGCTGCTCTCGGCGATCCTCAAGTCCGACGCCGCCAATGCGCGAGATAGGGGTAGAGGCGAGTCACAGGCAGGAAAAGTATATTGCTGTACGCGTACAGGCGCTGATGCACGAAGCCCCGACACCGTCCAATGACGCAGCGGAGCGCCGCACGCATACACACACACAGCACGGAGGCGGCATGGGGTGGAAGAGAGTCATGGGTCGATACGAGCTCCGGAGATGGAGGTAGGAGGGTGTGCAATGCAGAGAGGGTGCGCTGGGCTGCATGTATCCATATGAGTGTCTAACGCTGGTACTGAGGCGTAACGAGAATTGTGGAGACAATGAAATACCACAGAAATAGCTGGGCGCGAGCGGGAGTCTGAGGACGTAGAATTGGGCACGACAGGTTGTCCGCGCACGGGACAAAGCCGTGCGCGAAAGGACATGTGTGTGCCAGATCAAGAAGCTTCGACACCGCTCTTGCATTGCTTTCTAGTCATGCACAATCTCAGCCTCACATCTACTTATATAACACTCTGACTTACTTCTATGAATGGCCTAAAATCAATGACCCAAGAGTGCGGATAGTTCGAGGTATGGCTGTGGAGGATGGACGTGAGATGGAAAGTCTGCGTCTCCAACTCTCCAACGCTAGATCTCCGTCTCCGGTCTCCGACCGGAGCTAAATTGTCTGACCGCCGGCAGCCGAGTCGCCGAAACCTCTACTCACATGCAGCTCCTCTATCCCATACCATATCAACACTCATTGCAGCACAACTGCACGGCCGTGCTCTCGGACTTCGTGGCGTCCGGCGGCAGACGGAGTGCGAGCGTGCGCTCAGGCCGAGCATGGCGCACGAGGTCGCGCTGATGGACATGCAGTGTGGGATAGGTTCTGCATCCGCGTCGGTGAGTGAGATTGCGGGCGGGCGGCTCGGCGGCGTAGCATCGTCGCCCATGAACAGCCTCGCGTCGACGCTTGGCACGTGCACGCAGGGCCTACCGAGCTAAGCAAGGAACCGGGCAACAGCGACGAGGACGTCGAGTTGTCCGTGTTGCAGGCCCTGCAGTTCACTTGGAGAGCACGCAGATACTTCATTCGGCGGAGGGCGTGCTCGCCACGGGGCAGCGGGCTGAGGTATGCCTGTTCAAGATCAGCGCGCTGCAGGTCGAGATCGTTGCGTAGCTGTGTGAGGTGAGGAGGCGCGCAAGGGATGGGAGGGTGTGGATGTTGTGTCCTTGGCTGTAGGGTTGACTATGTTGGTAAGCCTTGTCCACGAAATTCGAGGAATGTCGGAAAATACAAGAAATGACAGAGTGCAAACTCGATATCAGACTTCATGCATCATGAGTTGACCTGTACTCACCACAGTAGTCCTGCTTTCGGATACCTGGCATCCTGTCTACAGCTGCCGAACTCTACGTCGTTGTCGCGCGTAGTTTCTCCACCGAGCACATCTCCTGTGTGTTTTGTCGCTTCCGCCGACCCAGAGCGGCCCCTGCGAGCATTGCAGTGCTTTGCATTCCCTTGCTTGTACGGGTGTTCCCATGTCGGAATTCGTAACCCTGACAATCGGAAAGTGCCGTAACCCTAGATGTGTCGACGCACGTGCTCATGCTCTTCGAGAGTACACCACTGGCACAGTGGCAAGTCAGATTGCTTTTCTTTCAGCTCACATCATTTTGCGGGCTGTTTGTTCTGGCCAAACATTACCTTAAAGGGGACTCTGGGGCGCTCTGATTGGCTGGTACGTAAGTAAAGCTACCCTTTTCGGCAATGTCTGGCTACTGCAAACAAAGCGTAGAAAGACACGACCTGCAGTTATTATGCAAAGCACTGTATCGTCATATGTATTGCGATTGCCGGTAGTTTCGAGACGGTTTTGAGCATGTGGGCGATGAGGTTGATATTTTCTTGATCTGTCGATGCTTTTTCGAGTTTTCGGATTTTCCCGAGACGGAGATGGGGCGCTTCTCTGAATCACTCGTGGCAGAGTCAGCGGCTGAGATGATCTGGTCGCAAAAATTTTCACGGAGTTCTGAAATAGTGAGTCGGTTGAGCAAGGACGACAGCGGGGGTAGTTGTTGACATGGAAGGAAACAAAGAAAAAGAGGTCAGGAGACTGGAAAGTGGAACACGATTCCATCGGCTGAAATGGCCGAAAGCGCATCGGAAAGGAATCTAACGGAAGTGGTAGATGAAAATGGCAGGAGTGGAAAGGGCGGTGTACCAATGCCAAGATGTGTAGCAGCCCCGAGTTGAAACCGGGCACCGGGTGTGGGGACTTCGGTGCCTGGGCTTACCGAGATACTTACCACGGCGTGGTGGGCATGGGACAGAGACGGGCCAATTGGCGGAAGGGATGGGTACATGCGGGAGCATCCTGTAGGGATCAGTGATGGGTAAAGTGGGGGAAGTAGGAGATAGCGGGAGCATTTGATGCCTCGACCCTGGTGTACACGTGTTTTTGCTCTCCTAATCCTTTCCGAATTTAGTGTAACTGGTCAGGGGTTACTCGGAGG